AGCTCACAGTGTCGGACTGCTGTGCCTACTATAGAAACATACTGTGGTTTTATACTACTTTAGCTATCATAGCTTTCTCCAGGGAACCACAGGGATGCTCGTGTATCGTTGTTTGAGAGTGCTGTTTATGAGGCCTTAGGACAACCCAAACTGAACGGATGATGGAGATGGAGGCTCAGATGTCAGCCCCATCCTGCACATTCCCATCCTTCCTGGAAGTTAGCAACGTTGCATGTCTGCTGAGGAGCTTTTAAGTATTTGCAGGTCTCTTGTGCTAAGGCAGGGACGTGGTGGCGCTGCGGGCTAAACCGCAGAAGCCTGTGCTGCAGGGTCAGAAGACCAGCAGTCGTAAGATCGAATCCACACGATGGAGTGAGCGCCCGTCGCTTGTCCCAGCTCCCGCCAACCTAGCGGTTCGAAAGCATGCAAATGCAAGTAGATAAATAGGGACCACCTCAGTGGGAAGGTAACAGCATTCCGTGTCTAAGTCGCACTGGCCATGTGACCACGGAAGATTGTCTTCGGACAAAACGCTGGCTCTGTGGCTTGGAAATGGGGATGAGCACCACCCCCTAGAGTCGGACACGCCTGGACAAAAATTGTCAAGGGGAACCTTTACCTTTACCTTGTGCTAAGGTATGCAGGCTTCCCAACCATGGGAATACTGTGAACACATGATTGGGACTTTAGCATTAAGCACACAAAAGTCATGCCAACTCATGGAGTGAGGTCATAGCTCCCTGTGTATAGACTTATATAAGCATCCCCACAACCCATTTGGTCCTCTGTGATTTCAGGCACAAAACCTGAACAGAGCTGTTACGAAAACAGTTTCTGTTGCCTATACAAAGTGATGGAAACCTAGCTAGTAAAATCTGGATGGTTATAAATTATTCCATGATCATCTGTTGGTTCTGCATTCAGAAAATAGTAGTGACAGAATTCTACCCATAAAAATCTGATCGATGCAAGGTTTCTAGCTTTAAAAAAGTATCAAAGTCCATCAAGTTCACTTCATTTAGGCAGTTGGAAGTGACTGCTAAAGGCATGGATGACAGGTGAAAACAGCAGAAAACTAGAGAAGGGGCCAGAAGAAATTGGCAAGGCTTCATACAAAGGGCAGAAGCTGAAAGATGAACACAAAGCTGAAATCACCCAAGATAGCTGGAAGAGGTTTGGACATAAGGAGAAGGAAACTGGAGTCAAATTTAAAGATGGAGCTGTGGTTAGGAAGAGGAAATGACTCTTGTGCAATAGCAGGTGCTGGACCAAAGAAGCAGTCTGGAGAGACAGCCATTGTTTTTCCAAGCATAGAGTAATGCACCTAGAAAGTGTACTGTCATCTAAGTCGTCATAACTGGCCAGTGATGGTGTAGTAGCTTATAGAGTAATTGGATAAAGTTGGTTAGAAGAGGCATGATTATATAATACAGTCAGTTTATTCAATCAGAAGTGACATACATATCAATTACAAGTAATTGAACACCCAATATTACAGTATATCACAGAAGTGAGTACACCCCCTCACATTTCATAAATATTTTAGTATATCTTTTCATGTGACAACACTGAAGAAATGACACTTGGCTGCAATATAAAGCAGTGAGTACATAGCTGGTATGACAGTGTGAATTTATTTATTTATTTATTTATTGTATTGTATTTATACCCCGCCTATCTAGTCATTTCGACCACTCTAGGCGGCTGTCCCCTCAAAATAATGCAACACACAGCCATTAATGTCTAAACTGCTGGCAACAAACTTGAGTACACCCCTAAGTGACAATGTCCAAATTGGGCACAAAGTGTCAACATTTTGTGTGGCCACCATTATTTTCCAGCACTGCCTTCACCCTCTTGGGCATAGAGTTCACCAGAGCTTCACAGGTTCCCACTGGAGTCCTCTTCCACTCCTCCATGACGACATCACCGAGCTGGTGGATGTTAGAGACCTTGCACACCTCCACCTTCCGTTTCAGGATGCCCCACGGATGCTCAATAGGGTTTAGGCCTGGAGACATGCTTGGCCAGTCCATCAGCTTCTTTAGCAAGGCAGTGGTCGTACTGTGATATACTGTAGCTCTGTAATAAGTTATGGATGCCATGCTATCTATTTGGGAAAGAAAAATGCTTTTAGGTAATGCTCTATGCACCTACAGCTGTGAGTGGTGATTACAAAGAAAAAAGGAAAAGCCAAATTAGTATTTTAAGGGCAAAATCCTGTTGGCATAACTTTGTGCCATATAACACAGATTGGGCATCAGGCATATATAACTTACATGAAGCAGCAGCAGCTTCCTATCCCTGTTTTAGGTTCTTGAGCTCTCTAGATCTCCCTTTTGCCCGGGAGAAGCCTCTAGGGACTTTGGGATGCATTGGAGGCGACAATCTTTAATAGTAAGAAGAAAAATTGCTGCTACTTTTAACGTCCCTTTCGGTTTTCCTGAGATTCCCAAATGCTTCCCCAAGGCATTCTGAGTTCCCATAGGGAACTCAGAACATAAACTGGGGGATAAGCCACTTTTAATTAGTGTCATTAAATGTTTCCGGCACCCCATCTAGGTTATTCAAGCACAAAGTTGTCCAACAGGATTTTGCCTAAAGAGTGCATGACTTGAGAAATGAGAGATTCACATCTGAATAAAACAGGTACGAACTTTTCTCAGGTTGTACCATGCTCAGAAGAGCCTGTTGCAGGCATGCTTTCCATAACAGAGATCTCTGATACAGTCTCCGCGATCACCATGGTATAAGTGGATTTCAAGTTGCAAGGTTGAGATGGCTGTCTGCTTGAGACCATGAGGAACCCCTACTTGTTGGAGTAAATGGTACTGAAATGGGTAGGGCAGTGGTCTCATACATGTAGAGCTTGTGGGAGTCCATTAGTGGAACATGGGATTTTCATAAGAAATGTTTAAGGAATCAACTTCCTCTCAATCCTTGTTTTCTTTTGCAAGTGCGGTGTGCCAATCTCTTTCCATCTGTACCTAACGTAGATTGTCCATCTGTAACTTTCTGGCATAACTTTGAGGACTTGTTTAATTACTTGTTTCCCATTAATACCGTCTCCTGATGCCTGCCAATTTAGCATAAATGATGTATGTATAATAATAATAGAATGGCTGTAAACATATTAATGTCCTCTGGAAAAAAATGGGCTGTTTGTTTCTATTAGGATTGGAATTGCATCTTTTGATAGAGTGATTGATGGCACACAAAAAAATGAAAGATTTAAAACTGGTGTTGCAAGCATCTTCATGCATTCCAGTCAGGACTCTGTACAGTTCTACAAGGGGTAGAAATTCCTTTAGGGTTGAGGAATTTTCATACGAAGTTTACATGAATAGATTGGTCCTCAAGACCTTTACCTGTCTTGTTTCAAACTGAAATTACTTATATAGAGAATTTCATTATGCCTCTTCACAGCCAGTGAAGCAACATGTGTGATTTAAAAATCATAAAGCAAAGCCATGCATGTTCCTGTAGTATCATTGTAAGTTAAACATTGGGAAATACATGAGTTTAAAACTAAGAGGTTTGGATGTGCCATTTTAATATTTTATTGAGCAGTTTCATGAGAATTTATTATTTTTAAGTACAGTATTTGTTATCTTTCCTGCAATTCCTTCCAGAAGGATCCCCCTAACACTTTGCATAAGATAATATAAAATTGCATCAGAGCTGCTCCTACCCCCTTGAGGCTCCATGCTTGTCTGCCCTTAATGATCTTATCAGCGGAGAGCCCCTGATAAGCTTCTTAAGAACTACGGAGTTTCCTGGAACATAAACTTAACTGTCTGCACTGTCTGACACTAAAGTTGTCCAGGGCAGAGAATAGCAATTATTTCTATTTCAAAGCAGTGTAAGAATACAGCCCATTGCACCTTGAAAATCCAATTGAAAAAAAAATTCAATACAGTTGTCCAGAAGGGCTGAGATTAGACATGGGATATTCATATTCGGATCCCTGGGGATATGAATACAAATATCAACACCACAGGTGCTTGGGAAGTCCAGTCCTTTCCCCCACCAAACCAGGAGGTCCAATTACTGGTTGCTGCATGGTGCACAGGGCCAGCGTCATTCTCATTGTGCCAATCTCAGATGTAGCCCTGCTGGTGCTTCTCCACCTCCCTCACAGCTGACCGCTGACGGAAGGGGGGAGACTCATCATCCCGCCTCCTCGCTGTAATGATCAGCTGCATGGGGAGGCAGGGAAGCACCAACTGGGCTACTTCTGCAGTGAGTGCGACGAAAACAATGCCAGCCCCGTGCGCTGTGCGTTGACTAGTGATTGGACCTGCCAGTTCGGAAAGAGGGACTTGACCTCCCAGGCACCTGTGGTGCTAATCGCATTCGCATCTCTAGGGATACGAATACGAATATCCCATGTCTAGTTAAGATGTATTACCTTACTAGTCCCACAGAATGAAGTATGGAAAAAAGTAAAGATACTAACTTCTATCAACATTGTTTGGTCTACTGGAAAGGTCACTATTCATATTTTATATGCAAAATTAAGGTCACTTTGCCCTAAATAATCGGGGAGGGGGAGCATCTACAGTTCAAAGTAGTGCTTTTGTAAATATATATATGTGCAGTCATTTATACAGTGTCTATTGGGCTGTGGTGGTGCTGCGGGTTAAACCGAAAGCCTCTGGGCTGCAAGGTCGTAAGATCAATGGTTCAAATCCACACAATGGAGTGAGTTCCCATCACTTGTCCCAGCTCCTGCCAACCTAACAGTTCGAAAGCATGCAAAATATGAGTAGATAAATAGGTACCATCTCGGTGGGAAGGTCACTGCATTCTGTGTCTAGTCGCGCTGGCCACGTGACCACGGAAACTGTCTACGGACAAACGCTGGCTCTTTGTCTTGGAAACGGGGATGAGCAGCACCTCCTAGATTTGGACGCGACTGGACAAGTTGTCAAGTGGAACCTTTACCTTATACATATAGTGTGTATAGAATTTAATGTCCTTTTACTTGTTTCTTACAGGCACAGGATCTGAACGTAATTGAAGAAGTCATTCGGATGATGTTGGAGATAATCAACTCTTGCTTTACAAACTCTCTGCATCATAACCCGAATTTAGTGTATGCATTGCTTTACAAGCGAGATCTTTTTGAGCAATTCCGAACTCATCCCTCTTTCCAAGATATAATGCAGAATATAGATCTGGTAAGTAGTTATGAATTCTCCATGGTACTTCAAAGTAACGTTGCAGGGAAGCAAATTCCAGCTGCTGGAGCCCTCCCCCTCATGGAAGACACAGTCTCAAGAGGAGATGGGTCTGTCTTTTGCTGGTGGCGTTTAAGCAGCGTCCGAATGACCATCCACTTGGGATGCTGCAGTTGTATAAACTGCAGATGTAATAAGCAGGGTGTCGGACTAGATAATCTTTCCTCTCTAGTTCTCTGTGACCAGCACACAGATTTGTGATTATGAAATTAAAAAAAAAAAAAGAAATACAAAGAACAAGAGTCTGTCCCCACTTAAGATTCATAAGCCCAGAATTTTTACAACTAAAGCCAGGCATCAAAAAGATGTGCCTATTGTGTTTTCCAGAATTCAGTTAAAAAATTCATCAGTAAAACAGCTAAGGAAGTGGCAAAGTGGTGTATGAAATTGTGCTGGTAGTGCTTTATTGATAGCCATCAACAGGAGTAGTACGTGTGGATTGGAACCTTGTATTTTTAGAGTCATAGCTGAATGTTTTCAGCCAAGGATCAAAGCCAGCTGACTGGGACGTTGTATTGCTGGGAAGGGCACGGGACAGTTCCAGCCCTATCATTAGGCAAAATGAGGTAGTTGTTTCAGACACCAGGTGTCTGAAGATAGTAGTATGAGGAAGACAGTAGTAGCAATCTCCTGGCCATTCTCTTGCATTGTAAGCAGCTACCACTTTCTAACTTGCGACCACTATGTTAAGATATGAAGGATGTTCTTGTATCACAGTGATAGCAAGTGTCAGTGCTATCAGCACCTGTTGATGAAGTGGGGAGAGAGCACCGTCTTGTTCACTTGAAGAAGCAAAGTGTCTTGGCTAGCCTCAGCCCAGAGGAAAGCATTTTTAGAATTCTCCAACTTCTGTCCTGTAGTATCCGTTGGATCCCAAAAGGAGGGGGGAGCTTTAGTCTTAGATCTTAAGTGTCATTTGACCATACATAATGTTTTCTATGGCCATAACTAGGGGGTCATAACTTACAGGACCAAATTATACTTCCTCTAGGGGGCAAACTAGCCCTTCAAGAGGTGTGTGGTGGAGAAACATTACATTTCCAAGAGAACAGAGGTGGTACAAATGACATTCCATCAAGTCATCATGAAGCATTTCATCACTTACTTGCATTGGCTGGTCTAAGGTTTCTTAATTTCAGTATCTTTCATTGGCCTGTTCAGATGACTGTTTCTAAATTTCCCTATTCTGCTGCTCTAATGTATTTTAAATCAACATATCTTTTAATTCTATTGTAAGCCATTCTTGCATGATGGCATATAACTGCACCTGTGTTGTAGGGTGGGAGTAGATATTAATATTCTCTGCCTTACTGGAAGACTACTGAGGTATTAATGCCAGTTTCTCTTGTAGGCGACATAGACAAGACAGGGTATAAGCAGGCAATTCAATTCTCATTTGTGCAACAACTTGAAATAAATCTTAATACTGTACCTACCCCAACCATTCTAAAACCCCTTGAAAGAGCAGAATCTTGAAAACCAGTCAACAAGTGGTAATAGGTTTGGATCTACGCTGGATTGATCTACACTGAATGTTGGGAATTATAATTTGTTAAAAAGCGTCTAGCAGAAATACTTAATTTTTTTCAAATGTAATTTTTCTATAAAACGATTTTATAAAAATATTTTGCCCATGATCTGGTTTCTTTAATCTGAAAAGCCTTGGAGGAGCTTTTCATGCATAAGTATTTAAAATATTTTCAGCTTTCAATCATCTGCAGGAGTAGCCCACATCACAATAAAAGTTCTTGTATTGAAACCCATATAACACAACTAACATATAGTATAATGGTAAAAGAAATAAGAAATAAGCCAGAACATCGTTATGCAAACTAGGATGGATTTAGTTCATTTGGTAAGTGGACCCACCGAATCAGCAAGAGCGCCTTGATTCCAAACTGAACCTAATTGATTTGTTGAGTCAGTTTTAGCTGAGACTAATAATTGGATTTAGCCCTTTGTTTTTCACTGGTGGCTAAAACTCAACATCAAGGAAGCCCACTGAGTCTCCTTCAAGAGGGAGTTCTATAATCCAGGTGCCACAGCTTCACCTAGGAAGGGGGGTGGCTGCATCTGGGCCTTGGAAGGTTCTATATTGTATAACCATCAACTTCTCATATGACAGGGTAGCATGAAATGAGAGAAGGCAATCATATAGGCAATCATATAGGTATACTAGCCATGGCAATTTTGATTGCTAAATGACAATGTGGATGTAGTCCACAAAAGTTTGTGATAAAACAAATCTGTTTTGTGTTAAAAGTGTCATGCAACTCTGTTGTTCATGGCAACATTTGCACACAACTCCCTGAGATCGGTATCTGTTTCCAGAGAAGAGGAATTTCCATGTAATCATCTTCTCGATGGTCTTTACCAGAAGTCATGCCATTCCTCCATGAACAAAGCCCCTATTTCCCATCTTCAGACTAAATTTAATTGCAGATCTCTACGGCTTGTGGACTTCTATTGTCCATCCACCCATTTTCTGTTTTGTTTTTTTCCACCTTCTAGCCTGTTGAGAAAAGTTCTGGAGAACTTTAAAACATGCATAATTTGTAACACTGCAATTAGTCTTAATAAAGGCTTGCCCTGTCTCTGTCCCGGCTGCTTCGGTTAGTGCCAAGAGAAGCTAAAATGCAAATGAGGCATGCTATGCTGCTCATAGTCATAAGCCTGCAAATGCATGTATTGTTTGCAAAACTACAGGAATTACGCTGCCTGGTTTTTTTTGTGGTTTTTTTTGGGGGGGGGACCGATCTGTAACCACTTTCATATTGTATAGATAGAAAACAGCTGGTTCACTTGGTAACTAGAAATAATATGATTTCTGTCTTCATTTAACTGCTGAAGTTTGTTCCAGAATTCAGTGGACGTCTACTCTGCAGAATATGACGGGGCTCTTGCTAGTAATTCCTAATGCTGAACTGATGTCCTAAATGTTACCAAACCTTAGTTATTTATTACTTTGTTCAGTTGGGGATTTTCCTGCAAGATGAATAAGTCTGATAAGTACCCAAAAAATCCATCTCAAACACCAGGAAGAGGGAGTTTTGGTTTTAAGTAAAGAATGACTACAGGCATTTACATCCGTTGCCAGTGGCTAGCTTTTCTGTTTGTAGACAGGAGATTCATTTGGTATGAAAAGGGAGGCTATTTTTCTGTGCTTAATAGAGATTCAGTAGGACTTACTATATTAAAAAAAAAAAAGAAGTACTTGTAGTTGTGAGCAGGAGATATAATAGAGATTCAGTAGGACTTACTATATTTTAAAAAAAGAAGTAGTTGTGAGCAGGAGATATTATAAGGGAATCATTTTACTGTGCACAGCTTGTTGTTGTTCTGTGGTGTCAAGATGGAGCCAACTTAATAGGGCTTTCAATTGAGAAAATTAAGGAGGGTTTTTATCAGTTCCCCAGTGAATTTCCATGGTTGAGCAAGGATTCACACTCTGGTCTTCAGCCTGTCACTCTATTCAGTACACCACACTGGGTATCCCAGCTTTTCTTCTTATAGACAGCTTATCAGGGGACAATTTGCAGATTCTTGTCTGTCAGTTTCTCTGCCGGTCTTGCAGCTGTCTGTCTATCCACTTTTTATAAACAGGGAGTATTGCTCTATAGCACAAAGCTGCTAGAAAAGAGCCAAGTTCTTCAAACCTTATTTCTGCCATGAATTCACTGGATAGCTGAAGAGAAACCACTCTTTCTTGGTTATAATCTGAGAGGGAGCAACAAGACATGCAAAACAAGCCACTGAGGACTGAGCATGTTGCAGATGTTTGAGTATCTGTTGTAAAAGAAGAATTGAAAATTTTAGGAGTAAGGATGGGTTGCTCTGAATGAGTCCGGGCAGTTTTTATACACCAGCTTTCCCTAATCCAAATATTTTAATTTCCAAATATTTTAGATGACAACTCCAGTTATCTCTAGCCATGACTAGACTTTTGTCCAACATATCTGGAGGTTGTCAGGTTGGAGAAGGCTAGTCTATAGTAGCGTATTACATACCTGTATTGATATCATATCATGTCACATCATATTGTATTTATTTTATTTATTTAAAACAGTTTAATCCGCCTTTCTTCTCAAAAAAAAGTTGTAAAAAGACAGTGTGTAGACGCTAAAAACAGTAGGTATGCAAATATTTAAAAAGAATTAAACAGGTATTACATTTAAAACATTAATAAAATCAGTACTAAAACACATTTAAAACAACAGAGCACAACCATTTATTTAAAAACCCCTCTCAGCCCACCAGTTATTAAGGGAAAGCTTGCCTAAACAGAAAGGTTTTTGCCTGCTTGTGGAAGGATAGCAACGATGGGGCCAGACATATTATATCATATCATATCATATTGTGTATAATCATCAACAGGAACCCTGAACAGGGTCAAGCAATGGTAGGAAACAAGAAAGTATCGCAGCATTTTGTAGCAGGTCCTCCTTATTTTAATTGTAATAAAGTTGGAGCTTCTGTAGCTTGTAATGTTTCCTTTGTGATATTAGTTATTTTTAGAAGAACGTTGTTTAGGATTTATGGCAACAAGTGATTAGAATCAGTAGACTAGTTCTTTCTTGACTGTAGAAGTGCTTTTCCTATCGAATTTCCTTTGCTTTGTATTTCTGAAAAGCCCGTCTTTGCAAATTTGACAAGTCTCCTGCCCTAAGAAGTATAGTGATGCCTGTACTTGTTTGCAGCAGTGGTGTCTCATTTGAATCTCAGAGTAATCAGACCATCAGCCTTCTTTTGTTTTACTAATAGCAGGAGAGTTGTAAGGGCCTGATTAGGCTTAAGGGTTCCAGTTGGGTGTCTAGCTCTGCAGTATAATGGCGTCTCAAGCAGGTTATTGCCCTGCAGTAAACTATTTCCCAGTCCTGGGAGAAGAATTATCAAAGGGACCTTAGCACTCCCAATGACTTGGGTCGTGCTTCACTATATGCATTACTCTACTGGCCTCTCAAGATTGTATGTATGATTACAGATACTGTATATCAGATGCTTTTCTAGACCTGCTTTCCTTTAAGCTTCCTTGCCAAAAACAAAAAGGTTATATGGGACGTGGGGTGAAAGATACTCAAGTTAATGGAGCAGTCATGATTCTGGGAATTATCACACAGCTAAAAGAGCCTCACTTTTTACAGCCGATTTTCTTAGGAAACGTTCCTCCTTTTTAAATATATCTTAACAGCAGTAGAAGAAGTCCGTGACCATCAAGATTAACCAATAATGGTTCAGTTATGAGTTGTTCATTGAGAGAGTGCAGATGGAGAAGAAGCTGTTAAACCAAATTAACCTGGGGACTGCAGGTGTAAGTGCAAAAGGAGAATTTTGTTTGTACGTGTGCAAGGGATAAACATGGAATTGGATATGTGTTGGACACAGAAAAAATTAAGGGTGGTCTAAAGCAAGCATTCTCAACAGGGGCCATATGGCTGCTTGAGGAGGGCCCTGGCACATTTGAAAGGGGCCACAGACCAGAAACAATTCGTCACACACCACCTTATGAGGTTCATTATGTGGCTTATACAATCTTAATTCAGACCAAATTTCTTTTGCATTATGTTCATGGGTGTAGCCAAAAAAAAAAAACACTCTTGATAATGGCGGCCTTTCTCAACCTTGGGTAACCCAGGTGTTCTTGGATGCAACTCAGAGAGGTCCTTACCATTACCTATGCTGGCCGTGGTCTCTGGGAGTTGCAGTCCAAGAACCCTTGGATTACCCAAGGCTGGGGAGAGAGCCTGCGATCTAAAGCCAAAATTACTGGACCCGCCCCTCATTTCCCCTGATAATCCTCAGTGGCAAAAAAAAACACACTGGTCTCTTTTTTCCTTGCTTTCTTCCTCTTTTTGAGCCAGCAAAGCAGGGTTTTAGCATGCAGGAGGGGATGCAGGAAGAAGAGGGGATTGTTCCCATCCTTCTTGTGTTCTGAGATGTACAGGCACAGTGACAGTTTTAGATAAGCCCTGTGTCAGAAAGGTGATGCCGAAAAGCAGTGTGCATGGATCTTGCACATTGGGAGTGGGAGTTGTGTGGAGTGTGAGATCAGTGGAGTTGGAAGGGGTTGAGGCCAAGTGAAGGAGAGACCTGTGGATTTGTGCTTGGCAAGACAGGCCCAAATACAAGATTCTATCACCTGTTTGCCTTTCCATGGAATGGCTGTGTTGGCTCTTTAGGACTTGGCACATCCCTGCCGTGGAAAACATTTTGTGGTGGTTCTCATGACACCTCCAACGTCCAGCTCTGTCCATCATTGGCAAAGTCTGGAGACCCCTTTTAGTACATTCAAACCAGTTGATGTACTTTATATCCTTTCAACAGCCCTGTGATAGACATTTTTTTATTACTCAGAGCCTGAAAATAAGGGAGGAGACTAAGGAACAGCATCTTGCTAACCCTACGGAGAGTGCAGGGGTAAAGTGTGGTTTGCACTGGGGACGTGGTGTAGTCTGCAGCTTAGTCTCTTGGCACTAGTCTGTGTTCATATGTATTTGAACCACAACCACAACATATTTGAGCAAGCTGTAGATTTACGAAGAACACTGCTTAAAATTCTCTCCACAATATTATTGAATTGTGAATTATTATTTGTACTGTCGCATTAGATAGGTGGTTGACAAATATCCACCAAGAAGACACTGGTGCTTCATTGTCACGATTCCCCAGTCAAACCTCCCTCTCTATCGCCACTCAGCCACACTGCTCTTGCTCATCTAGGGGTGAGTCGCCCAGGGGGAGTCAGATGCATTGAACACCATGGAAAGGAAAGCTTGACCAAGAAACTATGCCATGGTTTACAGCAGTGGGATTATGATGCCAGAACTCTCCTGTGTTTTTTTTTAAAATAGTTCTTAGGAACTGACTTTCTTGGAGCAGTTTTTCCCCCTGTGAAACAAGTGAAGTTTAAAAGATGGAAACATGTGGTTTATTTTCAGCATAGGGCAGTGGGAAATGATTTGATGATACCCAGTTGGAGGAAGATTTTCTGCCACCCATAAAATCTTGCCACAGCTGGCAAACAGAGCCCTCTCTGTGGGCACACGAGATGCCATAGAGAAATACTTACCCATCTTCTGACCCCGGATTTTGGCACTCCCCTCTGCTGGTGCAGTGGTCCAGCGGAGGGGTGCACTGGCAGCCATTACCGGTCTAGCCCAGTGGGAGATTGGAGGACCGGTAAGTATTTCTTTGTTAATACCGCCCATAGGAAAAAGAAAAAAAAAAACACCAGCATTTAACCCTTGGAGTGCAGGAGCAGTTGTTTTTCCTAAACTCAAACCTCAGTATTCAGGTTTTAATTGCAGTGTTAGCACTTTGAAAGAAATAAGTTAATTTTGTGTTGCATTTTGGGCACTTGGGCTCAAAAAGGTTCACCATCACTGTCCTAGAACACCACTACATCTGAGAGACTAGGGTGTAGATAGCGATACAGTTTCAGTAAAGTTCCATAGTCTTCACCACATCTGACTGACCTCAGGATGAGAATAGTGCGGTTAAGTGGCTATAGTGAGAGAGACTTAACCGAGGAACCATGACAACCATTATAATCCACTTCACTGGTTTTCAAGGTATTGGCACTTAAAAAAAAGAAAAAAGTCCTCTTAACAGACACCCTGACATTGCATAATTAACCCATGCTTCTACTTGTTTACATGTGTTTCTTTTTCCCATTCCAATCCAGGTGATCAGCTTTTTTAGCTCACGGATTGAACAAGCTGGAGCTGAGCTGTCAGTGGAGCGGGTTCTGGAAATCATCAAACAGGGCGCTGTTGCACTGCCCAAAGACAGGCTCAGAGTAAGTGCTCAGAAGAGGGCATTAAACATAGTGGTGCTTAAATAATAGTTTGTCCTTCCTTCCCTTCTTCCTGTGACTGCATAGCCTTGCTGGTCAGTTCTGTTATTTATTTGTGTTCAGTTTCTGTATGATATAGTAATCAGTGCATTATACTGTGCAATCATGCTCCATAAAAGAATGACTGACTGAGGAATATAGATGGTCATTTCTGTAATGATATGCTTCTTTTAGAACCTTAATGAAATATATTCACATACTTTAAGAACAGATATCCTGTGTTTCAGAATCTTATGATTCTATGTTTGAGCACTGAGAATAAAATTTCCTGTTCTGTAGACTTGGAGGCAAAGAAACTCACTCGAATAGGCCATCTATCAACTGAAACCACACTGGAATGTAAATTAATGGCTGGGGCAAAAAAGTAATTTCCCCTAATCTTTCATCATCTGTTTGGCAAGGAAGAGTCAATATGCTTTCCTTTGCTCCCAAACCTCTACCTGACACATGGATATAATGTATTTGAATAGATTCTATACATATTGAATCTAATACGCATGTCCAGATTATTTTGTTAGTTCCTGATTCTATCCAAGATTGTGTGTTTTAGTCCAATGAACAATTAATTTTTCATGCTTGCATCCTCGTTTATGGATTGTGAAATAGACTGTATATAGGAAGGGTAATAGTTGACAAACAAGCTGAAACCGACAGAAGGTACTTCTGGGCAAAGAGACACTGTCATTTAAATTGGACAGTATCATCCTATTTATGTAACTGAGCAGAATCAAGGAATACCCTAAGCCAGCGATGGCGAACCTATGCATGCCACAGCACGCGAACCATAAATCGCCAAATCGCTACTCTGTGCCCCCCCCATGCAGCCTAAACCAAGAAGGTGGCTGCAGCCGCAGTGCTGGCACATCGGCAGGCGGATCCGGAGCAGCTGGTGCTGGCAGCGGATCCGGAGTGGGGTCTCGAGGCATCTCTGTGCCCGGATTCTCCCTTCCACCACCACTTCCGGTTCCTCTGCCGCCACTTCCCTAAGCTATGTACCTGCCCTTTCAGGTACCTGTGATCTGGCATAGGTCTAGTTCCTGGGCATGAGCACCTGTATATAGTTTCTTTCATCTACCTGTGTGCACTTCGGGGACTCATCAAATACTGCAACCATGATCACGCTGCATCAGAGCACAATCTGCTTGAGTCCGTCAACATTTGGCCTTGGGGAAAGCAGGCAGTTAAAATGAGCAGAATTGCTATTTACGTAGAGCATCCAAGAACACACTGGGAATTAAGATAGCAGGGAGTTGCTGTTGTTTGAAGAGTGGAGGAGAGAGGGTTTAGACTCCAGCTGTAACCGAAGATAATTGCCAGACGTTTGCTTGCTTTCCCAGCAACCCTTATGTGGCATGTGATTTTCATACACTTTCTTGTGTACACACAAGCCGCGGGCTACAAAGTGAAAGATGTGCCTTTATCACCGGTCGGTGAGTTGTTGGGTTTGATCCAGTAAAGCTGTTGTGGTGTTCTGTGAGAGGAAGAGTGTGTCACGCTTGGTCTAGGCAGACACTCGGTAGGAAGAGGGTGGTGTATTTGACAGTTAAATCCCTGAGACCTGGAGCCTTCCTTAGCATCTTTACCTGAATGTTGTTTGAGATAAGCGTGATATAATTGGCTGTCACTTTAAAGAGACAGCTCCTGCCTCTGTGCCTGTTTAGAGAGCAGGGAAAGTCCAAACTGGGTAATTAGCCTTTTTGGAAGATTCCAGCAGGAGGGAAGAGATAAAGAGGCAGGTGTTGAAATCGCTGGCTCTCGGATTTCTCCTTCACCCTGGTGGGAGGAGATAAAAGAGGGCAATATGCCTGGATCTTGAGGTGGAAGCTGGTCTGTTTAGAGACAGAGCTGTCTCCACTGCAGACAAGCAGCCCAGGTTACAGGCTTCCCCGTTTTATTGTAGAAGATTATGATTAGCAATAATTTAAAGATCAGGGTGATAAGTGAAAATTGGCTTCTGTGTCTATCTCCCCCCACTAAGCTCACAGTCTTTACCCTTCTCTCTCTCTCCCCCCCCCACACTACTTCCTTTGGGTGAAATTATATGTAGTTTGAGGATTAAGAGTTGAGGCCGTGTCTGAAGTCTGGGAGTTATCTCAGGGTTTTCTGGAAGTTGGCCAGAAGATATTTGCACGTTTATTCTCTCTCTCTCTCTCTTTCACTCTGTAGTGAGTGGGGAAAACCTGTTCTGAATGCCAGACGTTATTAACTAGAAGCTGACATTTGAGCTCATAGAACCAGCAACATTTAAGAAATCACATTTAAATGGTTTTGAAAGAAACGTCCCGCTGGTTAAGCCGTTTGAAGAGAAAACATTTATTTTACAAATGATTTTCCTCTACTGAATCTCCCAATTTTTTCCCCCAAATATACTGCTTGGTATTTTACTCCTTTCGTTTCTTTTCTGTGCTTCCCATATACCTGTCAGTACGATTGTACCTGGCCGTGCACAAGCATAGCATGAAGTGTGCACTTTACAGAAACATCTTCTGATTAGCACAGCACTGACCGAACTTGGTCCCTCCTCTTCTTCCCTTGGGGTGAAGCCTTTAAGAACAGAGCCAAGAACATTGGAGTAGGGGTGGGAAATTCCTGTTCCTACCCTTTTTCCCATACAGATCCTTTTTCGGTTCTCTTCAGTGATCCAAAATATGCTTTGGGAAGCAGAGATTTGACATGCATTACTGTTTTGTGAGAAATAATCCCCTGAAGTGAGCTGCGGGAATGAATAGCAAATGGAGCCAGCACTACCAAGTTCTTGAGCTCCCAACATTGTGTTGCGAAGTGGGAGCATAGGAAGCAAAGGGTGAAGTCAAGATCATCAACCAAATCAGAGTCTTAGGACGCAGATATTGTCTGAAGCTATACTCTACTATCAGTAGACACAGCTCAGCTTCTAGGCTTTAGAGGTTAATATGTATGTATTATATTCACTCTTGTGAGTGAAACTGGAGTTGTTAGTGAAAATGGCCTGAAAACCTAGGAGCATTAGACACAGAAGAGATGTCTAGAATATAAGCACAACCAAAGGAAGCATTAAACTGGGAGAACCAAGAATCATAGAACAAATGAGTTGGAAGAGACCTGTAAGGCCATCGAATCCAACCTCCTGCTCAATGCAAGAATCCAAATCAAAGTAGATGTGACAGAGGGTTGTCCAATTTTGTCTTGAATGCGTCCAGGGTTGGAGCACTCACTACCACCCGAGCTAATTGGGTCCATTGTCGCACCACTCTAACAGTTGAGATGTTTTTCCTGATACTCAACCTAAATCTGGCTTCCTGTAGCTTGAGCCCATTATTACATGCCCTGCACTCTAGGATGATCGAGAACAGATCCTGCCCCTCCTCTGTATGACTACCTTTCAAGTATTTGAAAAGTGCTATCCAATCTCTACTCAGTCTTCTTTTCTCAAAGCTAAAGATGACCTGTACTTTCACTCTTTTCTCATAGGGCTTGGTTTCCAGTTCCCTGATCATTCTAGCTGAATTCTGCTGCTCAGCTAGCATGGCTAGTGGTTACACTAAGTGATCCAAAAATAACACACACACACACACACACACACACACACACACACACACACACACACGTTTATTTAAATAAATATATATATCCATCTCTTACATAAGCAGGGTGCATCCTGCCTGATATTTAAACAGTATTTATTATTTGCATTTATATATCCATTCTTTACACCAGTGAGCTTAAAGTAGTACACACATAGCTGTCCTCTGCTTCATTTTATCCTCACAGTTATCCTGTGAAGTAGATCAGGTTGAGTGAGAATGATTGGCCCAAGGTCACCCAATGAGCTTCATAACTCAGTGAGAATTGAATTTGGTTTCCCTGAGCCCCCATCTCACACTCTAACCATTATCCCACATTGATGCTTACCCTGTTTCAGCTCCCACTGATTTCATATGCACTACTCCAAATGGGTTGGTGGAGAGGCAGGATGCAAATGGAGCATTAAGAGTGTCCGCCTTATACTTGTCATGGTAGGCGCTGATGCTCCATATCTGGCCTTAAATTTCAAGGGAAATTTTTAAAGGAAGGTTCCTTCTTGTGTCTCATGAGAATAAGTTTCCTGTACTACTGGGAAGTTAATATGCAATCCTGGAAAGTTTTGTGTCCCATCATTTTATAAGTGCCTTACCTGCTTTGCACAGATCATGTCCAGATTGGTTAACAAGCCAGGTGGTTTGTATTATGAGAAGCCATACTTGTAGATGTGGCCTTTCAAGATGCCTACGATACAGGTGTTGTTATACTGACATGTTTCTTTCTTTCATTGCTTTATTTATTCAGCACGGTGCAATTAACAGAGTGATGGATTAGGATTCAGGAAATGTGGGTTTGAATCCCAGTTTAGCCAGGGAAGCTCAGTGGGGTGTTGGAGGTGGAACTGGTAAAATATCTCACTTACCTTGAACCTGACCACACTAGAAACAATGCAGCGTGTGTGTATCACGTACCATCAAGTCAGAATGTACTCGTAATGATCCTAACAGGTCTGGGTTCAGTCTCCCGGCACATCCCTGTCAAATTAATTGTGCTAGCCTGGTGAGGAAAGATCTGAATCAACCTCTAGAGATCCAGCACTAGTTAAAAGCAGGCCGCACTGGATTGGATGGCCAAATGCTTGTTCACAGTATAAAGGCTTGAGCTTCCTGTGTTCGTATTTATTTACATAGTGTTGTAGAGAACAAATGTTCATAATTTCCTTGTGCATCAGTCCACAGTGCTGAAACCTAACCGTTTCTACAGACTGAGGAAATCGTATTTTGGCACTTGTTATGGAACATCAGTAAAATAAAATAAAATCATAGTTTTTCTTTTCTTCTTTCCCCCCCCCTCCCTTGAAATTTTAAAATGCCACCAGCACATGCAGTAAAATATCTGCTCTGGCAAACCTCTGAAAATAATTTTTAAACTGTTGCTTATTG